TTAAAATTCAGGGCGTGTGGTAAGGTTAAGACGAACAAATGCACCTCAACTCCAGACATAAATCTGATTTATTCTTACTTCAGCATATTTCAATTTCCTTTCATTAACCGTTACAAGTGCATATTTCTAGCTAACTATTACAGATTCAAAAGACACGTGGTGCAATAAATGCAGTTAGGCCTAGGAGCCCATTGGTGTATTGTAATGGGCTCTGTTAGGCCTTATTCCAAAATATAAGGATATATTTCTTAGAGGGGATACCTTTTCTCCTTGCTAAAATATTGTTGGGATATATGCGATTAAATTTCAAAGGACTAAGAAAATTCTGATATGTGGTTATAACTGTATTGAAATTGCTAACTACTTGCTTTTACTTCTAATTTACGGCACCATTCGTGATGCTTCATGACAATTGTTTTGGTATTAACGACAACCGTCGAATACTTCATTCCAACAACACCTCCATTTTACGCTTTAGATGTTTTCCTGGTCATTTTCGTTGTCCATTGGAACCTTCAAGGGTGCTGAGCTAGCCTCGTTATCAGGCCCTTCAGAGCTGAAAGATAAGAAAAAGGTTTGCTTGTAAAATGTTAAATAGTCCGCATGATGAACGTAAATTGTCATCCCGAAATTTGAATTTCGATCATCGTAGGCTTTGTTTAAATTCCCTTAAAAAATTGACATTTAAACAAGCTTGATTACGATGTGTTGTGCTCTTGCATCGAAATTTTTTTGGGGACAGGGGAGGGGGATGGGAATGCAAACCTCGACGATTTTCCTTTTCCACAAACCGCATAAGGCAACTCGTTCCTTCATTCATCTGCTGACCACGAGGTGCGTATGGGAGAATATTGAGCAGGCTCTCTCTGGAAATACTCTTGAGAACTGAAAAACTTCATACTTCTGAGAAACCTTAACCACGCCTCACTTTGAATTTGACAGATTTTAAGAACTGTAAAGGAGATGGATAAATACCTGCAGCAAGGACAAGGAAGAGGACATGGACGAGGTTTCCCCATGTACACCATACCGTAGAACTCCTTATCTTTGTCGATTTCTTCCACGGTTTGAGCCATGTTGCTCATCAAAGTCTCGGGAAGAAGCAGTGACAGGAGGCCGGCGGCTACAGTCAGCGAGCCAAAAATGACCATGGGAAGGGTAGCGCTCAATCCCGGCAACTGTGCCTGGGATTTTAAAGATGAATTTTTCCGTTATTATTTTAGTAAATTTGCTATGAAATATCGCTAGAGAGTAAAGATATCCTTTTCCAACCATTTAATGTCATTCTGCTGAAAGTTATCCAAAATCCTGAGAAGGAATGAAGAGATTAGTTTCCAAAGAAACTGTTGTACTTGGAAAGAATTAACCAACTTTACTATCTATCATGTAAATGAAGCTAACCTTTAATTAAGAATTCTGTATAAGATTGGAATTGAGTCACGGAAACCTACCAGCATGACAATGTAAGGTGCAATAATGGATCCCACACGAGCACTAGTGGAACATACACCAATTCCTTGGTTCCTGTTGATGGGACACAAAAATGGCTCATAATCAGGA